AGCTGGGCTCAGGTATGACCTTTCACATGTTTTTTTTTTTTTAAACAGAAAGTTAATAATAACATAATTAAGAGTATATCAGTATGCATAGAGGAGTATAGTACTGTGACAGTATCTCAGTGATTGAATTTTGATATACATATTTTAAAGTTCTAATAGAACTTTAAAAGAATATATTAAAGAAAGAATAGAAAGAATATATTCTCTAGGCAGGTTTGTTAGGTAACACACAAAGAGGTACATATGCTTTGAATATTTTTCGTTAAAAAAATTACTACATTCCAGAGATATATTCTACCTCCTGCCTAAAACTAGTAAAAGTATGTTCCACATCTTTAACAATAGGATAATAAACTATGCCAAGAGTTTGAGAGAGCTAACTTTTCTAAAATTGCACCATGGGTTTGTTTTTTTTTTTTAGAACAGCTGTATAAGTCACATCTGAGTAACAGTGTACAAATAGTCTTGCATTAATTTAGTGAGACTATCAATTACCAACATTTTTGTAACTTGTTTCTAATACAGGCTCTGTCTCACACAATCTTTCTATCTTTACTGATGGCATTCCTTTTCTATTCAAGATGTCACAAGAATGAGAGAGGATGGGGCTATATTTTACCACATAGAAAATGTTTGCACTTTTACTCATGTATGTATAATGACAGGACACACTAAAAGCAAACCTAAAAAGATAGGCTTGAAAGTGATGCTCAAAGATGAGCACAGTCCTACTGAGGAGGAGTTAATCTTGCAATTTATGAGTTCTCTGTGCTGTTAAGTTTTAGTAGTACAAAATAATCGACAATAGTGAGATGTAAAAATTTATTTTGCACCTTAATAGTACAACTCATATAAAAATATCTCAATATGCATATGTTTTGTTCATACACTTTCTTCCTCACCCTGTTGAAATTTCAGCTGAACAGTGAAGCAGCTGAATGCCTGAATACTAGCTTCTAGGAGGAATCTGGTTATCTCCTATCTTAAAGAATTAGTTTATTGAGGTCAACTTATGATGCACGTAGGTTTAAGCTGTTCACAGCTGAAAATATCTCATTAAAACATAAGCTTGAGTGCCAAAAAATTGAAATTAACTTTTAGTCTCAAATGGACTACAGATGTGTAACCATGAAGTCTCATTAGTTCCTATTTAGGAAATCCTAGTCCCCACTAAAGAGTGACACAAAGCTCACTTGATTCCCAGGTGCCATGTTTGTATTATCATGTTCACTGAAGGATTTGCATGGCATAAATATTCCAGGTAAATTGAAAGCAAGTAAGGTTATGAAACACACACATTTTGATTGTATAACAAGTTTCCTTGCATTTAAAACTCAGAATTTAAAAAAAAAATCCTTAAAATTTACGAAGATATGAAATAAGACACAACAGGTAAATTTGCTATCAGTAACAAATATAGTGGCTCCATCTTCTAATGTAAAAATCAGTATTTTTATTCCTTTTTTTAGACAGAATTATTTTAACCTAGGAAGTCTCATGAGAAATGAAGATAGATACATTCTGTCTTCAATCTGTGGTGCAACCTTGAACAAACTCAAGAATTTATTCTCCTTCTCCATTCTCTTTTCTCTTTAGACCCTGGCTTATGGGGACATGAACCACGAATGGATAGGTAACGAGTGGCTTCCCAGTCTGGGTTTACCTCAGTACCGAAGTTATTTTATGGAATGCCTGGTAGACGCGAGGATGCTAGATCACCTGACAAAGAAAGATCTGCGTGTGCACCTAAAAATGGTGGATAGTTTTCATCGGTATGTTGGCATAAACACTACAACTATAAAAAAGTTTGTGTGTGCGCCTTAGTGCTCAGTGCTGCACAGAATAAAAACATTTACTTTCTGTTGTTCTGGTGTGGAAAACCACACAAAAAAGAGTGCTGTGTGTCAGAAATCTGAATTGGGAGAGATTCCTTTAGTAATAGCAACTGTATTGCAATTATGTCTCAAAACCAAGATATTGATACAGATAAATTTCATAATGAGCAAGAAACCATTAATACCCTTGACAATACAGAAAGAATAATAATTTAAGTGGTTTCAAGTATCAGAAACGGTTAGACTAAGATTCAAAGCCCTGAGATCTTACAATAATGAAAAACTATTGTGTGTAGCACATAAAAGCTGTTAACAGTACAAGCAAATTGACAGTTGTTTGGGTTACCTAGGGATATAGCCAGGACGCTAAATTGGAAATATGGAAATAAAGGCATTTAGACTTTAGGGAGAATGATGTTTATGTGACAAGAAGTGGATTTCTTTTTAATATACTGTCTGATTTGTCACTTTTTTTGAGGCCTGATTTGACAAACATTTCACAGCTTGCAAGGGCTGACCTTTTCTGAATATGACAATGCTTTGGGTTTCTTATGCTAGAATTTTTATTCAAACATACTCATTTTGGTTTTGTCCATTTCATTCCTGAAATCTGTGAAGTTTTTTTAATGTTTTTGCTCTCCCCTCTGTCCTCAAGATTTGCTACATGGGCACCATGAAACACCTCATGTGAAATGCAGGAAATACACCCTACATATGTTCCCATCTTCAAAATTATCTTTATTAACTCTGTAAATGTTTCTCTTTAAATAACAGAACAAGCTTGCAATATGGAATCATGTGTTTAAAGAGGTTGAATTATGATAGAAAAGAACTGGAAAAGCGAAGAGAAATGAGTCAGCATGAAATAAAAGGTGATAGTTCCTGGGAATGAATACTGGGAATGTTTCTTCTTTTGAAGCTTGACACTCTTAACCCCTTGTCATGCCATTGTAGCAAAGCATTTAAGCATGTCTTTTCAGTAAAACTAACATAAGTCCATCTATTTTCAGAACACATCCTATCTTCTTAAATTAGGCACAGTTAAGTACTTTGCTAAATTGGGGCTGAATGGTGATTTGATACATACGTTTTGCTAAATTGGATTTTGGGAACAGATCTTATCCAAGCTTCTCTCAGGCTCAGAAGCAGAAGGCCAAACAGCCAGCAGCTCAGTGGGATGTGCTGGGGGCAACACTGGGAAATGGGAGCACTCAGGCCCTTAACACTGTGCTCCAGCTTTTGAAAACCTTTGCCTTTGATTTCTTACGTCAGAATGTATCATAGAAAACGTTGCTTGGGGGGTGGCTGCTGAGGCAGTTGATTGGTATATAAGAATAGTTCCTAACAAAACTGGCCTTATTAGAAGATTTAACAGCTGAGTCTAAAGAATTTTTCTGTGTTAAGCTCTCTAGAGTAGTTTGCAGGCTCACTGCATGGTTCCTTTTATATATAACAATTAGGGTGGTTGGTTTTTTCAACTATCAGAAATTAATTCTTTGATTCCTTTGAGCATTTCCAGCTCTAGTGATTACAGCAGTTAGCACTTCTCAAGCACAATGCTGATTAGAAGAGCTGGGGAAAAAAGGGAATTAGAAGGGGGAAGGGTTACAGTGACAGTGCATTTGCTCAAGGCAGATGATGGCATGCACTAATGCACTGCCTTGGACATGCAGGCATCAGTGCCAGTCAGCCCAAGCGAGTCTAGCTGGACACTGACATAGAATTGGCTATTGGTCTCAAATGCTGGTGTTGCTTCAATGCTAGTCACTGCTAGAACAAGAGTAATATCCCATAACCTCCTTCACCTTGTTATGCATTTGTCAATTAGACAGGGTCCCAGGTGGGATTTTGTCTCTGTCTGCTACTCTGTGTTTCAGCTGATCCTGGCCCCAAAGTCTGGGATGCTTTTGGCCAGGCAATGGAGAATGCTTGCTCCCAGAACAGCTACATTAGCTGGACTTCTAAGGGTCCAGGAAAAAGCCTCATCACTTAGTAACAGAAAACTCAGTATTATGTTTCCCACTCACAAGCATAAAGATCAGTATAAGAAAGTTTTTAAAAATCTTACAGGCAGGGTAAGATACTTTTTTAGAAAAGCCAAATCTTCAAAAATGGTTTCCTAGCTCATTCTGTTGCCTTAGCTTTATAATTGGCATGGACATTAACAGCTCTACCAGCTTTCTGAACTAAAAATAGTTTTAGTCTCTAAAATTGTGAACTCATCGTTTGCTTTATGGCATGTTATAAAATGGTAGGTGCTGACCTGACTTTCAAAATGTTAAACTCTCAAGTAAAGCCTTGCGGAACAGATATTTCTTCTGTGCCCTTGCAATGTTAAACTGTAAAATCTTGCCTAAGAATTGAAAAGGGTATATATAGGAGGTGGAAGGAATTGCATTCTGGAGATGCCCTCTGGAGGCACATTTCTCTTTTGGAAATGTTATTTAGAATAAACATTTAACTTGAAGATAGCTAAAATCACACAGAGATTTTGAATAGGAGATATTAAAGCTATATGAATAGTTTACTGGCAATACTCATTGAAGAAATAGAGCAGTATGGCATCCACAGTGCATGCACAGCTACATGCATGCACCTGTACAATTTGGAAGTTATCAGGCATCAGGAGATGACGTGGTGTTATGTCCTCACAGATGTGCTGGTATGGAGCAATGATCGAGTCATACGCTGGATACAAGCCATTGGCCTCCGAGAATATGCAAATAACATTCTAGAAAGTGGTGTACACGGTTCACTTATAGCACTGGATGAAAACTTTGACTACAGCAGTTTAGCTTTATTACTACAGATTCCAACACAAAACACCCAGGCAAGTTTGCTTATGCTACTTCTGGTTATCTATACCCATTATTGCCTTTTATTCATCTTCAACCATTTTAATTTTTTACTTTGGTATCTCCAGGCACGGCAGATCCTTGAGAGAGAATACAACAACCTTTTAGCACTAGGAACTGAAAGACGACTTGAGGAAGTAATTTATTTTATTTTCAGTATTTATAAAATATCACAGTAAAACATTAAAATTAAATTGAATGCATGAAGACATGTTAATACACGTTGTTAAAAAGAGTCAGTTACAGCCTTAAGAAAAAAATTAGAAGTGCCCATCAAGGTTTTTAAAGTAACCACAATGTGGCTTTATATTCATATCACCTTGGATGCTAAATTTGGCACTGCACTCTTACCTTAAGAGGAACGTTTTCCTTAGAGGAAACATGCAGAAAGGAGTGGAAGTTTTGCTGGCCAGAGCAAGCGGCGGGGGGTGTGTAGGTGGGATGCCTGAGCAATCTATTCTTTGGGACACTTACACCCTTTCTTTAATAATAAAGAAGAAAGGAAATTAGATTTTCAAGTTTATTCTTTTTTTTTGTTTCTTTCTTTTTTTTTGTTCTTCAAACTTAATCAGTATTCATAGAGTGTGATTTGGGGCAGTTATCTGGGATGACAAATCTCAAACCCAGCTATGAAATTTATTCATCTTAATGTAAGAGTCCAATGCAAAAGTGTTAAAGTTTTGGATTTCTTCACATGAGAAGAAATAACTTTTAAGGACTTGCTGAAAACGTGAGATGCCTATGAATTCTGTGCATGCACATGAGTGTTTAATCCCTTATTAGCACTTTACATAAGGCACCTAATCAGTAACAAACCACTGCACTTTTTGTCACTGTATAAGAAAGTTCTACTTTAGCTGATACTAAACCCCTCAACTCTATCAACCTAGAGACTTAAGAAGTATTTTCCACCCTAGCATTTAATATTTCTAAAGCATTTGTTTTCACAAGCGTGTCTCAAACACATTACAGTGACTGGATGCAGTGCAGCAGAGCAGGGTAGTTGTGGAATTTGACAGTGGGAGAGGCTGCAACACAGCAGGATAATGAATCAGAAAGTTTCATTTTGCTTTTTCAAACACAACTCTGTGTTGACAGAGCGATGACAAGAACTTCAGACGTGGCCCCTCCTGGCGACGACAGTTTCCTCCGCGCGAGGTTCACGGGATCAGCATGATGCCAGGCGCCTCGGAAACGCTGCCAGCTGGGTTCAGGCTCACCACCACATCAGGGCAGTCACGGAAGATGGCGACGGACGGTATGAAGTCAAAAGCATATTAAATTGACTTTTAATGCATGTCTGTCTTGCACCAGAACAACTGTGTTCCTGTAACTAGGATGAACAGGGCCTCAGAGAGATGAATTAGGGCATGGAAGAGCACTGGCTTGGCATACTATTAATCTTTTTCAGGCTTGCTTCAGTCTGTCAGTGTTCATTTAAAATACAAAAAAATAAAATCCCACCTCACTATCCTACATCTGCAAAGGAAACCTTCAGAAAGACAGGAATTATTTACTAACTTACAACTAAGACTGCATATATTATCTAAGCAAATATTTCAACTTGTTAGCCTCTAGCAGGTGGAGTGTATTTAGAGAATGAACTTAGAAAACACGGTCACCTTTTTTTTTCCTCAAATTAAGTAGCTTAGCCTTGACCATCAAAATAACCGAAGCTGCTAACAAATGCTTACAATCAGATGGATAGTTAGCAAATACTGAATTTCAGGCAATAATTGAGTTATGGTATACCAGTCTTAATTTTCTCTGGAAATCTTTTAGTTTCTGAAAGATGTGCTGTCTCAGCAACGACTGAAAAAGTAACAAGCAGATCACAATTAAAAATCATTGTAAGTGAGCAGGGAGAAGGGACAAATCCTATCACAGCTATTTCTTCAGGTATATGGAAGACAAAGCCAAGCATACCTGCCTGAAGTTCTGACAAGTACCAGTACACAGGCCCATTTAAAATACTGTAATTTATTTCAGCATTAGAGGACTTAGGTCTATGAACAGACTTGTGTCAAAGTCATTTAATACACTTCTTGTAATGCTTACATTCTTTAACACTTGAAGGAACTTGGTATGACAATATTGCCACCTAAATTCCATTAAAGTCATCAAAATTCCATTAAAGTTTCTCACCTTTAAAAACAATACTCAACAGCTGCAGTTACAGATGGAATAATTTACTGATTGCATCACTAAATTCCATTGACTCCTAGCTCCCATGGCACTTCCATGGCCCACATTACTGTAGTAGCTAAGAACCTTAAAACTATTTATGGATTTCATTTTTTATGGTATGATGTAGACATTTTCCAGATGGGGAACTACGGCACAAGGGAGATTATGATTTACTTGAGGTCTTCCAGACAATTTATTCTTGATCTGTGTACTGAACTCAGTAGACTTAAAGGTAGGTAGTTTTAGAGAGCTACATCTTCATCCAGGATTTGGCCTCCTATCTCCCAGTGCTAAGAATGCAACAGTATTTAAACAGCACGATAGGTAAGAGCATTAGGACTTACAATAAAATAAAGACAAAATGGAGTTTTAAACTGTATTCACTTAAGACAGATTCCAATAGCATATCCGACATGAAGAAACGCTGAGTTCTGAACTAGACCATGGACAGATCATGTCACAGAAAGCCAATAGCCAACAGCCACCCTTCCAGTGGGAAATAGACTGATTTATTTTCTTCATGATTCTAAAGAGGTTCTGGTTTGTTTCCCTTTTTTTCTTTTTTTTTTTTTTTTGCGATTTGCAGTTGCTTCATCACGACTTCAGAGGTTAGACAGCTCAACAGTTCGCACATACTCATGCTGACAAGGCCTAGCAAAGAAGGCAGCACTGAATTGTTGTGAGTATTCATAAGGGGCCATCATGAAAGCTTTTTATAAATGTGCACTATGCCCGCATTATCCAAGCAAGAGCCAGCATGGAGCAGAGGACATAACTAAGACTCACTAGGGTGGTCATTTGACCATGACAACAGTCTCAAGTCAGTCCAGGTGACACTACCAACCATAATATGTTTTGGGGAGATGGCAGTAGGCACAGGGAATAAATTTACTTTATGAGCACTTGAAAGAGTTCTACCCAGAGCTGGGGTGGAGGGCAACGCTAGTAAAGGACTTCTTTTTTTACTACTTTTTTTTCTCCTTCCCCTTTAAATGAGAGTCATGGCTCTACATAGAACATCAGGTAGCTGCATAAAGCTAGAAGAAAACTTCCCCATGCAGAAAATCTTGCAAAGTTATCTATTACAGAGATTCTTGCACTTCTCAAATCATTCCGAATTGGCAAAGAAAGGATATTCTGAGCTGGATGCAACTTTGGATCAAATTTAGTACAGGAATTCATGTTGCATTTTTCACCACTTATCTTCCAGTTGTGGCTATGAATATTACAAATTCACTGTTCCAGAGTTCTGTGGAAATACAGTGTTCTACTTCATCACAAGATTTGCAAAAAATACTAACATCATGAGCACTTTCATCAATGTGGCACCACTTCATGCTAGTATTTTCTCAGTAAACCATTGTTACTCAGGGAATTGTAAGGGAGCTGGGAGAGAATATTTGGATAGCACCAAAACCTCACCAGGCATTAAACATGCTTCAATAGCTGTTGCATATTGTAGGCAAGACATGCCAGAATCTGCAAGGAAGTTGTTTTTTTTCTGGATTCCTAAGACTGGAACAGGCTTGGGGCCATCTTACTAACTTTGGGTAGGCTGACAAAGTGCTTAGGAATAGCAAATGTTAACAGTGAGAAAAGCAGATTGCTCAGGATCCCACTGGATGATGTAAGTCTTACTTCCTAGATCTTCAGAAGACTGTAAGAATATAAAATCTTAATCTAGCAGAAAAGGGAACTTTCCATGCCACCATGAAAAAATAAGCATGGGAGGGTTTTCTGTTGGTTTTTTTTTTTAAAAAAAGAGGTAACTGTAGCAGCTGGTCCTATGAAAATGATGATGAACCACATAAATTATAGAAATCTTTTTATGTGTACATACGTATAGCTCAGAGTGTGGTGTTGTATCAGTAAAGCCAATGACAGGACTCTCACTGGGTTCAGTGGGGATAAAAACTAACAGCAGAGATGCTGTCTCCTGTGTGCTTCAGAATTGCAATGTTGAAAGCAATAAAGTATGACCAAGAAATCAAGGACAAACACCAAGCTATTTATTAGGCCAACAGTAATGGGCCAGGCACATGAGGTGAGGTTTGAAAAGTGCAACAAAGGCAGAAATTTGAAAATTGATATGCTAACAAAAATGAATTTAAGATTATTCACACTGTTTATTCACACTATAATAAAGTAGCAAACCACAAACAGAAGTAAAATAGCAGACTTTTCTGGCACTATAAATATGGGAGCTATGCAATTTAAACAAAAAGATGTTTATACAAAGTTATATGAGATATACAATGTAACTTCAATTTCCACTGGAGTATTAGTAGCGATTCAGCTATCAGTGATATGTATCACATCAGTACTTGCTGTTTCTTCACTATTCTACCAATTACATTCTAATCTTAAGTGCTTGAGAGCTCTATAAGAATATCAAATTTGCATCTAAATTGTAATGACTAATATATGAGGATGACTGACACATATTACTATTTCTCATACCACATACTCCTTTTAGAGAAGCAACAAGATGGTGTGAACTAGAATTTATATCTATTTGCCATAAATGCAATTTCAAAATGTAATGCAGGTTAGAAACCAGAATGCACATTAAAATAATTTTGGATTCCAGTACATGATAGAGAAAAACCAAACCAAAACAAAGAAAAGCAGGAAAAATATTCCTACACTATTATATCAAACTCAAAAATTTAAACAAATTGTCAGAATCTTAAGGATGAATGCATAAACAAAAACTGCTCATGTGACTTGAAGTTGGTTGAAGGACAACAGAGGAGTTTCCAGAATTCTGTGATCATAGTTCCTGAGTAATTTGAATAAAAGGGAAGATTATTCATTACAACATGCTTCCTGAAATTTTCCAGATCCAGCTTAGACTGAGACCCAGGCTTGTAACACCTTGCCTAGAACACATCAGCAGCTGTGTTACTCAGGTGACTAAAGTATCTGCACGCTTAGAACCAGGAACTGATTCTAAATAAGCAGGGGAGGGGTAGCTGAATGAGATACACAATAGCCATATAAGAATTTTTAATATGGTAAAGCAGAATATGCATATGAAGAGCAGGCCCAAAGAGAGCTGCAAATGGACTGCATGTGGAATAAAAGCAGATGGCCAGTGATCAGAGCAGGCTGCAGATTCTTCCATTCTGCTACTCTTACAGAGAATTTCAAAGAGAATTTCAAAGCCTTGTATTTCAAAATAGTTTGAAAAAAATAGTTTATGCCAACAGGGTACAACCTTACAGTATCATACAGTTTTTCTTCACAACAGCTGGGTTCCATTCATGTGCTTTCAAATTGCATTTCAGGTTGTTTTTTTAACCATTTGTTGAAACCATGATGAGCTGCCAGAAACTATGAACAGACATTCTCAGAACAGTCCTGTTTCAGTGTACTCTCAGTATAAGAAATCTAAGAACAATTAAGACTGTTAGTGCTGGCCAATCAATGTTGCAAAGAAGTTTACCACAGGACAGGTGAAGCCTTCTGCTGTGGGGGCTATATGTTGCCCAGCTGAACATCTGTAATGCCTTTATACAGTCAGTGGATTTGGCACTTACACTGTCCAACCTTCCCCAACATTTTGCTCTTATAAAACACGTCATCGGCAAGTTAGAAGGCTCAGTCAGAAAAGTTTTGTTGCTTCAGGCTGGTGCAATAGAACGTACTAGTTACACTTTTATTCTAATGAAATATTAAAGGGGATTTGGCAAAATCAACAATGTACTTTACCAATGAAGGGTTTCAAAGAGGATTTGTAAAGACAAATAGAGATGTGAATGATAATCTGGAAGCAGCTGGTCCATAGCAAAGAAATCATCAGGATGAAAAAGGTAAATGCTGATGAGTTGCAGCAAACTAGGAAGGAGAACCACAGCAACATCTGTACACTGAAAAAGTATGTTTAGCCTTGTGCCAAACAGGCAAAGGTCTCCAGATGCAGGAAACTAACCCCAGTGCTGAATCAAAAGAGCAAGAAGACAAAGTTAAAGTGAACATAAGCAGCAGTCTGTTTTGATCTACGACAGAAATCAGTATACATTAGTAAAAGATTAAAATGCATTATTAATAGGTTTATGTTGCAGATCTAAAATTAAACAAATGCATGTCTCCCACAGATACTCAAAACTCATGTTTTAATAAAACATGCAATAGCTTACTTAGTGCTATATTTTCTGATGTCATTACATCATAGACTGAATTAGAATTAATACAATCTTGCTAATTAACGTTTGTTTATTTTTTCCCTTAGATGTCATCTCTTTCTTCTTCTTTACCTGAAGTGCACTACCACGACTTAGGAAAAAGAACATTAAAACTCTCTGCAAGAACAGGGTAATAGGGAAGAGAACACATATGGTCTATCAGACAAACAAATATGATGTTCCTTTCATGTATTGGTTAGTTTAAAACATGAATAAAAATACCTAAATTACTACTACAAAAAAACAAAAACAAAGCAACCTTTTCTCTCAGCATCTCTGTCATCAAAAATTTGGCAGTAGTGCACATCCAAAGCTTTTATCAAATGAAGCCACTCATCTTTACATTGTTCCATCTGTTTTATTGTAAAATACTAGACATTTACGTATTTACTGTGTATGTATTTCTTTTAAAATGTGTAAGTCTTATGTAAATGGATATAAATATGATTTTTTAAAAATAAAATCTATGGTACATGGGGTCTCAGTGCAAACATTTGACAATACAGTGTCAATAATACTGTTTGTATCTTTCCATTCCACCATTTTTACAGTTTTTGGATTGTAACAGTCAAATGAATATGTTTAGCAGAGTTAGAAGCTTCAACATGTTCCTACTGACAAAAATCTGTCAATATTTAAAGCTGAACACCTGCCTCTGATGATGTATAATAGAATGACATAACCTGGAACTGAAGCCAAAATGGACCTCTAAAGACAAAATGGAAATGTCAGATACCTATAGAGAAGCACCATGATGGCTCACCTCTTAAACAAAGAAACCCAGAAGAACTGTTTATAAAATAAAAAAAGCAATTTAATAAAACATGATTTATACAAAAAAATCCAAAAGACTTTCTTCTATGTTACCTGCGGACCAAGAAGAATCTTGCTTTACCAAGAGCCACCTTTTCGTTCCAGGATCTTCAAACACCAGCCAGCATTGGAAAAGTAAATCTAATATTTGCATAGAATCAGATTCTCGTTTCTAGATATATTCAACAAAGAAAGAAAAGAGAAGCCAAACCCCACCATTTCTTCATTCTAACAGGGCATTAGACAGGTTCCTGTCTAACGTTATGCTTTTAGCCAAGATGGCCTTGCTGAGACTTCACAGAAGTCAGTTTTATCAGAGGAAATAACTGAAAGACAGAGTGATTAATATATAGTGTATAAAAGTTTAGAAGAGCAACTATTACCTGCTGTGGCTTTATTTGGTGGTGTTACTGTTGTTTATTCTTTGTTTAAATGGGAAGTTTCAAAGTAAGACCTACTTAATAGTCATTTACCTATTTGCTATTTTTCTGCTGCTTGATCTTAGCTCAAGACCTGTCTTTTAGTTATTTCTTTTAGCAGTTTGATCTGCAATGTTTGCACGTACATGAACATTTGTTTTGTCTATTTTCATTTGGCAAACTTCGGTCAATCAGATGGTGAAAGATTTTTCTCCCCCAATGTCAATAAAAGAAGAATTCAGTGCTATTTGTGTTTATAAGTCTATTAAGCTTGGTACATAGCAGCATTAATTTTGGAAACCACATGCTTCTCCTAGCTAAGCATAAGCACATTTTGGCACTAACAGGTATGAGTTACAACGGTCAGAATCTGCCACGAGAGGGAGCACTGGACTTGCTGCTGGTGTGATACGATATCAGGCTCACCGCACACAACTCTATCAAGTCAGGGCTCTTGTACGTACAGTTCCTCGCACTTACTGACATCATTGCTGATGTTCCTTCTTCTCCTCTCTCAGCCTCCTTTTATTATTTTTGTGCAAAACGTCACGAAGTAAAGCAAGGCAAACACTATTGTCAGTGGTTGCAGTATCATATGAACATCCCCTTGTAAACACCAGCTCACATTTTACAGAATTTCTTTTGCAGCCCACATTGTCAAGGCCCACGCTAAAATTTAGGGGATAAAGGGGATTGAGGTGTGTTGGGGAAAAGAATGAGCCAGATGTTGCATCCAAAGCTGAAGTTATCGTGCCCTAGAAGTACAGCAGTCCCAAATTCTTTATTTCACAGTGGAAGAAAACAGACTAGAAGAATAAAAAAATTTTATTACAACTATTATTGTGACTTTAGTTTTGATTTAAGGATAACATATTAAATTCATCCCTGTCTCGCTCACACAAGCTGAAGCTATACCCTCTACAGCTAGACATTGTGGTCATGCTAAATGTGGCCTAGTTGACTCCAACCTTTTCAGTACACTAAGAATAACTACTACATCTGCCTCTTCAAGCCAAGTTTCAATAACACCCTGATCATTCAAATCCATCTACATGCTTCTTCTCTCCAAAAACAAAATTAGGAAAATTACTGCTCTCCTACCACTCGTTAAATGGGCTTGTTTCTCCTTGATGACCAGGCTGCTGGGCAGCAGCAGAGCCATGCACAAGGATAACTACTGCTTCTCCCTTTCTGCAGCTGGGCTCAAAGCTAAAGTTGTAGACAAAGTATTCTGCAATCACAGTTCCTCAGCAAAAGGCTCCACTGGAAAATGAAAGCAATGCCCATGAAACAAGCATTTTTTTTTTTCCCACATTGTACTGCTGCAATAAGGAGCCTTTCTTTGTCTGGGTTTTCTGAATGCTGATGCATGACACTTTGGCATTTCTGGAATCCTCCACATTAGCAGCATAGTAGTGCAGTGAATTCACCTGACCACTCTGCCCTTCTCTTTTAAAATACAAGTCTCAATCTAAAATGACTCCTATCAAACTAGAGGGGAAAAAAAGGAAAAAAAAAAGGAAATTTTTGAGAAAGAGGAAATAAAAGAAAGCAGCCCAAGCGTCTTCAGAAAACAGAAGTTAATACAAATATTTTTGTCCTATTGAAGCTCTTCACAAACAGTTCAGAGAACAGATAATAGTTTCTTACCAATATTAATGTATGCAAATAGCCTCTCAGGAAGGTAAGTGCATGCCAAAATATCTATTATTAATGCCGCTAGGGTTTTTGTGTTTTTTTAAAGTCTGATATTAATTCTCACCTCCTAAAAAGCAGTTTACCTTTCCTTACAAATGAAGAAACTGGTGTAGGAGCATGAGGTATCATTGGGAAGCTATACAAGACCTAGGAAATTAATTCTCTTCTCCTACATCTACTTCAGTATCTTCACTAGAGAGTTTGTGCTTTTACTAATTAGTTCTCCTCTCCTGCTTCTGCAATTGCATGATGGCTGCAGCCAAGATAATGATAGCAAACATACAAAACTTAATGTGTCACCTTTCGTTGTACAAAACACTAATGTCCACGCACCTTGTGAATGTGCAGTTTCTTTGTGATAAGACACTTGTAGCATCTCACTAATTTAAAAACAAACCAAAAAAAAGCAACAAAAAAACGCAGCACTGACCACTCCCAAGAACTCTCCCTTGGCCTGCAGCTGCTCAGCACAGTGTGCTAAGTTACAGAATTGTGAAACGGAACAGTGTCTTCAAGGCACTCCATTATTTGACACTGTCCTCCTATTAAAGCCTTGATACTTGAGTAATGGTACTTGAATTCTTAAATAATCCATCCAGAAGAACATAATATCTTCAACTAACTGCAACTTATACAAGAAGTATTTCAAAAAAGTTAACAGGTCATCTCTGAGGAACAAAATTACTCCCACATACAACTCACTAGCATGTGTACTTAACATATCTACCTATATACATAACATATCTACCATAAAGCATCATTAACCTTTGCTCAGTCTTTAAATGTGTGATTTTCAACTGAGTCAAAGAACCAAGTTGGAGGGTTGGGGCAGGCTACCTTATACAATGATTTGGCAAAAAACAAGTAGAGTGCAGACTCAAACGAGGCTGTTTTATTATAGGACTGTATGACCTGGTTCAACACAACTGTCTCAGCTGTATGCAGTCCCTAGTGAAAAAACACATGGACATTTTATATAGTTCTTATGTAACTGGTAGAGCTCACCAACTCTACAAAAAGGTCACAGGCACAAGGCACCATCAGGGTATGACTCACGTTAAGTAGCATCTATCACCTTTTAGCTCTACATCAATACAAAACTTATTTGATCACTTTACATTTACTTACCTCTATCCACCAACACACAGCACTATTTCTGGACTCCTCTGAGGACCTCATCATCTGAATTTGTGTATTGCTTACTGTTTCTTCCTCTGGAAAGCGCTGCTGAGTTTGACTAACTTCTTGGCTTTTGACCTTTTCTCTATACGTATATCTTTAGAAGGATTTTTACATGTATTGTTCAATTAAAAACCAGCAGCTTGAGAAATAATGTCTATACAGAGTGTATCCTCCATGCCCTAGCTTGTTGAGAACCCTGTAACAATTCTGAAATGGCCTATAAAGTTCAGAATGGGCTTCTTAGTATCTGTATTTGCTAAATTTCTTGGTTTTATATATATATA